CATAAATGCGGGACGTGCTTTGATGTGCAAATGTCTTCTTGGTGCTAACCTGCTTTGAATGCATGCTAAGATTTCAGTTATCCCAAATGTTTTTTTAAAAAAACTGTTTCAGTGGTTTTCTCTACTGTACTTAACTTTTATTTTTTTTTACATAAAGATGTTTTCTTTCTTCCTTGGGGGGCCTTTCATGTGGGTACTCAGGAGGCCCCACCTCCCGGTGAGCCTTGGTCCTCTTAGCTGGCAGCTCTGCTCAGGACTTTCGGTGCCTGCCGGGATTCGCCTCTGGAGATGGGAAGACCATGCAGTGCCGGGGGTCAGGTCACTTCGTCGCCTGGAAGACACGCGCCTTCACCCCTGCACTATCTCTCTGGTCTCTGCATGTCTTTTTAAAATTTTGTTGTGGGGGGCACACCTGATGGTGTCCAGGGCTTACTCCTGGCTCTGTGCTCAGGGATCACTCCTGGTGGTGCTGGGGGAACCGTCTGGGATGCCAGGGGTCAAACCTGGGTCAGCAAGGCAAGCGCCCTATCCGCTGTACTATCTCTCTGATCCCTATTTTTTAATTTATTATTATTTTTTTTAAGTTTCTAGAAGGGCTTGTGTTTTCCAAGTTGTCATTTGAAAGGTATTTGTCATTCCTGGAGGAATATTGGATTTTATCCAGTGCTTGTGCTATGTGTTTTTTGATTCCTTCTTATGTCCTTCCTTCCTTCCTTGCTTCCTTCCTTCCATTCTTCCTTTGTTTGTCCTTTCTTCCATCTTTCCTTTCTTCCTTCCATCCCTTACTCCCTCCCTCCCTCCCTCTCTCCCTCCCTTCCAACCTCCTTCTTTCCTTCCTCCCTCCCTCCCTTCCAACCTCCTTCTTTCCTTCCTCCCTCCCTCCCTCCCTCCCTCCCTCCCTCCCTCCCTCCCTTCCTTCCTTCCTTCCTTCCATTCTTCCTTTGTTTGTCCTTTCTTCCATCTTTCCTTTCTTCCTTCCATCCCTTACTCCCTCCCTCCCTCCCTCCCTCCCTTCCAACCTCCTTCTTTCCTCCCTCCCTCCCTCCCTTCCTTCCTTCCTTCCTTCCTTCCTTCCTTCCTTCCTTCTATTCTTCCTTTGTTTGTCCTTTCTTCCATCTTTCCTTTCTTCCTTCCATCCCTTACTCCCTCCCTCCCTCCCTCCCTCCCTCCCTTCCAACCTCCTTCTTTCCTTCCTCCCTCCCTCCCTCCCTCCCTTCCTTCCTTCCTTCCTTCCTTCCTTCCTTCCTTCCTTCCTTCCATTCTTCCTTTGTTCGTCCTTTCTTCCATATTTCCTTTCTTCCTTCCATCCCTTGCTCCCTCCCTCCCGCCCTCCCTTCCAACCTTCTTCCTTCCTTCCTTCCTTCCTTCCTTCCTTCCATTCTTCCTTTGTTCGTCCTTTCTTCCATCTTTCCTTTCTTCCTTCCATCCATCCCTCCCTCCCTCCCTCCCTCCCTCCCTCCCTCCCTCCCTCCCTCCCTTCCAACCTCCTTCTTTCCTTCCTTCCTCCCTCCCTCCCTCCCTTCCTTCCTTCCTTCCTTCCTTCCTTCCTTCCTTCCTTCCTTCCTTCCTTCCATTCTTCCTTTGTTCGTCCTTTCTTCCATCTTTCCTTTCTTCCTTTGTCCTTCCTTCCATCTTTCCCTCCCTCCCTCCCTCCCTCCTTCCTTTCCCTCCCTCCCTCCCTCCCATCCTCGCTCCCTCCCTCCATCCATCCTTTCCCTCCCTCCCTCCCTCCCTCCCTCCCTCCTGTTGTTACCTTTCATGCAACACATGTTTAGCCTGGTGGTTTCATGCACACACCCTGCCCCAATGCTGGGAGCTGGGACAGCTGCTTTCGTTTCCCAGGTGTGAGACAGACACAAGAGGGCCTGTGAACTGCGAGGTCCATCCATGGCACAGGGAAGCTTGGGTTGGAAGGCTGGGCCCTGGGTTCCTCCCACTGGGGTTTCCCATTGTTTCTGTGTTTGTTCTGAGAAGTCAGGAATCGGGAGTCGGTGCGTGAGGTGGGTCCACAGGAGAAGCATCGTCTGCGGCGTTCCTCTTACTTGACGTGGGCCCTTCCTGCCGTCTGTTCACACCAGGCCTTGGCGTATAGAACTAGGCTAGAGAGAGGAGCCTCTCCAATGAGTAAATCCATCCCCAGGCGACTGGAGGAGTGCTTGGGTTTTAATTTTCCCTTGGGTGGAGGGACATGGGGTGCGTGTTGATGAAGTATAACCTGAGAGTCCCACACCGTTTGGTCCCAAATGTAGTTTAACAGGTGCTGTTTGGGCAGCGTTTAAGTGCCACTGTGCTACCTATGGTCCAAGGAGTGTTCCGTAGGGGCGTCAAGGCCAGGCCACATGGGTGTTAGGATCCTGAGCTATGCGCCCGGAGGCCGGCAGACCTTCAGCCACAGACAGTGTTTTGATCGTTGCTGTTGTGGGTGAATCTTCTTCTGATCTTTGGGCGGTGGAAGTGGGCACCAAGATCTCTGCTCTGGGAGCCTCTATTTTAAGCATGCAAGAAGCAGACAGAGCACAGAGCGGGCGTGGGGGGTCACCTGGGCCCTGGCCAGCTCTGCCCCCATCTCCCGGGCAGTTAGTTTGGGTGAAACTAACGAGAGCAGATTGACCCCAAACGCCATCACGTCCTTCTGTGTCCATGCCACCTGAGCCTGCTCGCCCTGCCCTGGGCACAGGTGATGGGGCCGGAACACACCCTAGAGCTGGGAAGGAGGAAGGGGGAACGCAGCCAGCTGGCAGGGCATGTGGGAGGCCCTCACCACTCGCTCCACACACACCAATCTTCTCGGGAGTCTTTCTGAACGCTAGCCCTGGCGCCACCACTTTCTAGCTATTTCAGTCGCTCATTTCTTGACCTCAAAGTCAGGAGGGGATTTCGTTCATGTCTTTTATGGAGAAAGATGTGGGGTTCCGGTTCCTCCGGAGGCCTTGGGTATTCCAAAAGTACCCGGATAAGCAGGGAGGGACTGGAAGCATCAGATTGGCAGCCTTGGACTGTTGTTTTGGGGCCACATCCGGTGATGCTCAGGGCTTACTCCTGGCTCTGCACTCAGGGATCACTTGGGACGGTGCTCATGGTACCCTACGGGATGCCAGGGATCGAACTTGGGCCAGCCATGTGCAAGGCAAGCGCCTTCCCCATTGCACTATTGCTCCGGCCCCAGCCTTGGGCTTCTGAAGCTCCTTGCAGGTGGGAACTTTCTGGCTAGGTCGGCTCTGCCACCTCGGGTGAGCCGGGTGCCCACCTGGACTTTCTGTTCTGAGGTTTGTCCTGATTAGGCTCTTCAAACCTGGATGGTCCATACTGGACTCGGGGAGTTTTCCTGCGACCCAGGAGTTGGGGCGGGCAGAGCGGGCCAAGGAAATTCCTCGTTTCTGCTGCAGCTGTGGAGGGTGGAGTGGGCCGCGCCCAGGGGCGTGTGGAGGCTGATGGTTGGGTGTGAGTGGGGGGCAGGGGAGACGTCCTTCGGACAGGGACCCCTCTGTTGCGGGCGCAGAACTTGTGAGTGCAGAGACATACTTTCCCAGTGAGGCCATCGGATTCCTGCCGCCTGACACTCGGGGGCAGCGTGGTGAAGAGCTCTGTTGATGCCGGGGGGTGCCCAGACAGGGAGGCCATTGTGAGTCATACGCAGTGGGGGCACTCCCTCTTCCCAGGGCCGGCACTATTCTTAGAGTCATTCTCTGCTTCCCGGGGCAGAGGTCACTGGACCACAAGCCAGTAGGGCGAGTGGAGGGGCTGGGACCCGGGGTGCAGGGGGACCAGAGCCAGAGCCTGGGGAGTGGGGAGGGTCTGTGGGGTGCCGGCCTGAGCATGCCAGCTGACCCCGCTAAGCCACGCAGGACCCCCTCCCCCTCAGAGAGTCGCTAGGAGTGAGTCTAGTCCTCCTGTGAGCGCATCTGAGGCTTGATTCTGCATCCGAATCTGCTGGCTGCTGACTGGCCTGTGTGCCCACCCAGGTGGCCCTGAGCCTGTGCATCCCCAGGTTGGGATGCTGGACCTTTCCGCAGCCGCACTTTCATTCTGCTCCCTGAGAGAGAAGCTTCCTGCATGATGCTCTGAAAGTTCTGCTGTGCTCCAGTGGGGGGGGTTGGGGGCAGGGGAGGAGTGGATACACACCATGTTTTCTGGTGAGCATGAGGGGTGCCCAACTGATACCTGCATCTACCACTTAGAAGTTTTCTGAGACTTTTCTGGGGTACGGGGCAGACGTGTTGACCGCAGAGACCGTTGAACCGCTATTTCTCTGAGTGCACCCCTACTTAGACAGGAACCCCGGTCTCTCGGCTACTTCTGAGCAGCACGTGCTCCCCAGGACACTTGCACAGCACAGACGTCCTCGTGGAAGATGAACCGACTGAGGGACTGTGTGGGGCCTTACAGGCAGCACTGATGGCTGAGTGCAGAGGGATGGCGAGGGGGGAGGAGAAGAGGGGTGTGAGGTTCCACCAGTGCGGGAGGAGGGGGGAGGTAAGACTTCACCTAGCGGGGGTACCAGGCAGAATCTCAGCCTCTCCCCAGAAGGTCTCCTGAATGCCTGCTGACTCATCACCCAGTGGCTTGCTTCCAGAATAGAGCTGGGGGGATCTGGGGTCACAGGAGCCTCTGAGCCCCATTGGCTGGACAGTGACCTTAGTCATTTGCAAGCCCAGCTACCCCCAGGGGGAGTGCAGTGACCTCCTGGGAGAGTTAGTGCTGGGGGGGGGGGGGACAGTCCCTCTTGACTTCTTCCCTACCCTTTGTTTTTGGCGTCACCCAGGACCATGCAGCCTGGGTACCTCAGTGGTTCAGCGGAGTCGAGAACAATTTTCTCACCACCAGCACTGGTCATCCTTATAAATACTCTCCTTCTCCGCGTCTGGGCTTGGGCCCCTGGTCCCGTCCCCAGACTGGACGGCTTCTCCTTGCTCGTGGGGCCGAGGAGGGCTGGGTGCTGTCGGGGGTCGGTGGTGTGCCAGCCGAGCCCTGTGTCACTGGGGCTCGCCTCCTGTTTGCAGGTAGCGGCCCCATCCAGCTGTGGCAGTTCCTTCTGGAGTTACTCACTGACAAGTCCTGCCAGTCCTTCATCAGCTGGACGGGAGACGGCTGGGAATTCAAGCTCTCCGACCCGGATGAGGTGAGGGCCGCGCGGACACTCCAGGCTCAGACTGAGAGGGAGTTCTGGGAAGGAAAGGGGAGGAGAGGGTGTTGGGGACCCCTCTGGCACCCCGTGAGGAGAACCTGTGAGCCTCAGACCACAGTTTGGAAGCAGAGAAGTGACCTCTGTCTGCCAGTAGTCATGGCTGGGTGCCCCGAGAGTGTCTAGCCCAGAGGTCCAGAAATAAAGGTCTGCCCCTTTATTTTTATTTGTTTGGGGGCCACGCCTGGCGGTGCTCTGAGTTCAGGAATCAGTCCTGGTGGGCCTTGAGGAACCACACAGCATACCAGGGATCCAGCCCTGGTCAGTTGCATGCAAGGCATGAGCCAGTCCCACTTTTGCTGCGGCCTGCTGGAGGCCCCGGCACCGCTAGGATGTCCCAAGGGCCCCCAGAACACAGGACCTGAGTGAGTGAACCATATCCTCAGGCATCATCCCAGTCTGGTTGGCCGAGAGTCACGGGCAGGGGCCCCCAGGCCTCCTGAGAATTGCTTGGGAGATCTAAAACACACACCATGGAAAAAATTCCGAAACTTCAGGTTTCTGTGCATGCTGTAGTGTGCACCCCTAACCACTGCCCAGTGGCCCCCCAATACCCAATTCCAATCAAGACCAGCAATCCAGGGAGACGCCTCCTTTTCCTGCTCTCATGGTGTTAGGAATTACTCCTGGCGGTGCTGGGGTAGCATATGGGATGTTAGGGATTGAACACAGGTCAGCCGGTGCAAGGCAGATGCCCTCCCGGCTGTACTACATTGCTCTGACCCTGCCAGTCTCAGTCTTGAACTCCAGATCTGCGGTGATTCCAGTTCATTTCATGGCCCTCGCTGGCCAGCCCATGGACAGGGACACCCAGAGAGGCATCTCTGAGAAGTCAGATACCTGGCCGCCCCAAATCTCAGAGCACCCCCAAATCTCCCACCACCACCACCACCACCCCCTAAATACGGGCTGGTGATTAATGCCTCTTCTTCTTCTTATTTTTTTGGCCAATTCCAGGTGGCTCGGAGATGGGGGAAAAGGAAAAACAAACCCAAGATGAATTACGAGAAGCTGAGCCGTGGCCTACGCTACTATTACGACAAGAACATCATCCACAAGACGGCAGGGAAACGCTACGTGTACCGCTTCGTGTGTGATCTGCAGAGCCTGCTGGGCTACACCCCCGAGGAACTGCATGCCATGCTGGACGTCAAACCCGACACTGACGAGTGACGGCGGCCCGGGCCACGGGCACACTCTGCTGAGACATTCCCAAGCACAACCACGCTGGTTGGACTCTGAATTTCCCATTGTTCTTCTATTTTTAATTTTCCAGAACTCGTTTTTTACATTCGTGGGGTGGGTGGGAAAGCTAGGTGAGCTGCAGCTGTAACCGATTGTCCGAAGTTGTCAAAGGAGAACCAGGATGTTTGGGGTGGGGGGGACACGAGAAATTCTTGAGCAGATTATTTTCAGGAGAAGGCGAAGCGTTTTCAGAGAAGCCTACTTAAGAATCCCGCGAGAGAGACAGAGAAGGGGAGAGATGAGAGAGAGGAAGAGAGACCAGTGGCCTGATCTTTTTTAAAAACAAAAAAACCATTCACAAAAGAAAAAATATATATCTTGAGTTATGGACCTGGTGGCAAAAGGAATTGATATGTCAGAAGTCATTAACCCCAGGGAAAGGCTGTTCATTTGATTGATGCTTTTTAGATCTGGGGTGAGGGGGATCCGATAGAGAGATGAGGGCGAAACTTTTTTTTTTTGAGGGGGGGAGCACTGAGAACCAAGAACTATTTCACCTTTTACTCTACTTTCAAAACCAATATGGACTTCAGTGGCGGAGGGGTCCAGGCTGTTTTTGTGTTAAGATTTATTTTATTAAATTTTGTGCCAGTATTTTTCTTTTTCCTTAAACATCGTCTTAAGCTCCGAGGTGGTCTCAGTTCGGCGGTTATCACGCAGGCCTGTCTTTAGTTTGCTGACTGAGGCGTCTGTCACAGCGAAAGGAAACTGTTTATATAGACCCCACTGGAAAGCACCGTCCCTGTGATCTGGGACCCCAAATTCACGGGACTTAGCTAGGAAGGACAAAATCATGCCCATTTGGGGACCAGGGAACTCTTGTTTGTATCTGTCACTTTAAGAAAGAGATTCTCCCTCTCCTTCTCCCTTTTCTCCTTTGTGTCCTGTGGATCCTTGGGGCTGGGACAATGAGCTAAGAAGCATTAAGTCTGGAAACTGAATCTGATGTGCAGCCTTGGTTCAGAATGTTGCGCTGTCATCCAGGAGAGGAGGTCAGAGGAGGCAGAGTGACTGGACGCTGTCTTGCTCCTCTCCCTGCCACACAGACTTGGGTGGTTGTGACTCCTGGTTGTGACTGGGGATCTGGAGACCAAGCCGGGTGCGTGGGCATTACCGCTCAGGTCTTAAGACAGACGTTCCGAATGTGTGTCCTTGCAGACTCAGACCCGCTTCCTCCTCCCCCCTGACTTTGCTCTGGGACAGCTTTCTCCCACTCTGGTTATGCAGGTGCGAGGAGGCGGCAGCCTCTCCTGGGTGAGGCAAGGACTTCTGTGTACTGACCTGGTGGGTGTCTGCTAAAGCCAGCTGGCTGTGCTGGGGCTGGGGAGGGCTGGCATTGAAGGGCACATGGGCAGCAAACGTGGCCTTGCTGGCCCTGGAGGAAAGGCGCGTCTTTCCTTTGAAGAATGTAAACTTGTGCATTGGGTGGGATGCCTGAGCGGACTGCGGAGAGTTTGGATGCCTTCGAGGGGTCCCTGTTGTCTTGCCCTGGGGAGAGTGAAGGTTGGTGAGGGCAGAAGGCAGGAATGAGTGTAAGGCAAAGGAGAAGCAGGGAAGGGAGCGTGAGTGAAGGAGTAAGTTGGTCCAGGAGATTGGACTGTTCCCGGTCTCCCTCTCCCTGGAGTTGCCATAAAGTCAGGGTGGTCAGTGCCTCCCTCTTTCTCCTGGCTATGACCGGGGATCTGGAGACCAAGAGCTAACGCCAGGACAAGTGCCTAAGGCAGCCAGGGACCGCCCCTATGGATGGCAGAAGGGAGCTGCGTGCACAGGGCTGGACTTTTGGCGCTCTTGCGGGGTCACACGGTGGGCTGCCCACCTCTTTCTTGGCACACCTTTTGGAAAGGGGAGCGCTTCCTCAGGACCCATCTGCCAGACCTCCCTCACCGGGAGCCTCCGCTATGGACAGACACATGGAAGCGTCCCCTTGGAAAGCCCAGAGCCCAGCTGTGCGTTGGCTGCTCTTTGGTGCAGGTGCCTTAATGAAGCTTTAAACATGTCAGGAGCTGCTCAGGGAGGGGTAGGCAGAGCTGTGGGGACGCCGTGGTTTTCTCTTAGCTCTTGTGATCTTTGTTGGGCACTGACAACGGAGCCTGTGTGCGTGTGTGTCTGTGTGCATGCATGCCCGAGTGCGTGCGTGCGTGCCTGTGTACACGTGTGCCTGAGTGTGTATGTGCATGCTTGGGTGTGTGTGCTTGCCTGTGTGCCTACTTGTGTGTGTGTGCCCATGTGCATGTGTGCCTGCCTACGTGCATGCCTGTGTGGGTACGTGCCTGGGTGTGTGCAAGCCTTTTGCCTGTGTGCGTGTCTGTATGTGTGTGTGGCTGTGTACCTACCTTTGTGTGCATGCCTGCATGAATGCCTGTGACCTATGTGTGTGCATGTATGTGTGTGTTTGTGTGCGTGTGTGTGTGCCTGTGTGCCTACATGCATGTCTGCGTGTGTGCCTGCATGTGTGTGTGCGCCTGCATGTGTGTGTGCATGCCTTCATGCATGCCTGTGACCTATGTGTGTGCATGTATGCGTGTGTTTGCGCGTGTGTGTGCCTGTGTGCCTACATGCATGCCTGCGTGTGTATGTGCATGCCTTCATGCCTGCCTGTGACCTACGTGTGTGCATGTATGTGTCTTTATGTGCATGTGTGTGTGCCTGCGTGCATGTGTCCCTATGTATATGCGTGTGTGCATGCCTTCATGCATGCCTGTGGCCTACGTGTATGCATGTGTGTGTGCGTGTGTGCATGTGCGCATGCGTGTGTATGTGTGGGAGCATCCCCAGGTGAGCAGCACCACCGCCGACTTTGGTCCTGAGTTTGCGGGGTCCGCCAGGCCTTTTAGCCTGTCAGTGGTGGGGAGGGCAGAGCCACACCTGAACTCCCTCCCTCAGCTCCTCAACCTCTTGCCACGATGGACGCTGGAAACTCCCCCGGAGGGGCGAGTCCATCTCTCCCCTGCCTCCCTCCCAGCAGAAACTCCTCGAGCAAGTGCCTCCGCTGGCCCCGCAGCCCGGAGCTTGCCCAGATGCCTTTCTCCCTAAGCCCTTGTCTTCTGGACCGTGCGGGGAGGGTCTGAATGAAGACAGCTTTGTCCGTTTAGCCAGACGTTTCGCTTCTCTCCCCACTCCCCTTCCATCCGAAGGCCAGAGACCCTCCCAGGAAAAGTGGTGGGGGTGTATACACTGGAAATGTAGCCCAACTGTTGCATTCGTGCTTTTCAAAAACACACCTTAGCTTCACAGGAAGGATGGGGCGACCGACCGGGTGGAGTTGGGGGAGACCCTGATTTTCTTGAGCGGCCCACACCCGGGGTGAGAGGCAGAGTTGCTGGGGTTTAATTTTTCTGCGCGGGGGAGGGACTTCCCAAGAGAGAGCCCCAGATTTGTGACTATGGGGTTTGGAGGGAGCCTTCAAAGACAGGACTTGCCTTTTCTCACTTTGGAGACGAACACTCTGGAGTTTTAGAGCATTAATCTGACCTTGGTGGAAAATCACGCCTCTTTTAGCCATGCTGCGCATGCTACTTTCTTTGTTGGGGTCTATATAAATGTGTCAAACTCTTCTCTACATTCCAAAGACGTTTCAAGGAACCCGAGATATATGTATGCTGATACATATATAAAATATATATTAAAAGAATTATCTCTATCAGGAATACTGCCTCAGTTATTGAACTTTTTTTTTTTTAAGAATACTTTTGTTTTTTTTTTTAAAGCTGAGAAGTACAGGGGTGAAAAAGATGTTATATTGTGTTTGACTATTTTCCAACTTGTATTTTCACATAATTTATATTTTTTAAAAAGCGGAAAATTTAAAAGCAAGATAAAAAAAAGCAGGTGCTTTTTAAAAATCAGAACTGAGGTAGCTTAGAGATGTAGCAACATTAAGTTGTCTATGTGTTGTTTTTTTTTTTAATGCAGAAAAATTTTCTTATGGGGGAGTTTTTTGTTTGTTTTAGTAGCTGATGCTGGCACATCGTTTTGCTGGAGAGTTTTTTATATACTGTAGCCTGATTTCATATTGTATTTTAAACTGTGTGAGATTAAAAGCAAAAGAAATTCATTCATAATGATGTGGGTTTGACTCGATTCTTTCCTGCCTGGGTCTTGGCATACGGACATTGTCCATCCAGTGGTAACCAATCCCCAAACAAACACACACTTGGGGTCTGACCCATTTTGGATCAAAGTCTCCCAAAACAGTGATTCCCCCACAAGGGGAACTGAGCATCCCCACCCGAGACAAGAGACTCATCCTTGCAGAAATGCCCTCCGCTGTCTCCTGTTGGTTCCTGGCTGAGACAGTACAGTGGGTAGGGTGCTTGTCTTGCCCATCACAGGCCTGGGTTTGGTCCCCACTACCACCTGTAGCCCCCTGAGCCCTCCGGGAGCGATCCCAGAGCACAGAGCCAGGATTAAGTCCTGAGCATAGCTGGGTGTGACCCCAAAACAAACCAAAACTATCTAGGTGACCACACAATAGATGAAAGGTGAGCGGCAGGAGTTCCCTTTCCTGGTGCAAACACAGACCATCGTGGGGTGCTGGGCAGGAAGGAGCATGCCTCTTGGCTTCTGAGCTCTTGTATTTCCCCCAGCTCTGGCCTGTGTCGATCCGGGCCCAACACAGTCCCCCGGGCTCTACCTCCCCACCCTCTTTGGACCCTCAGTTCTGCATTGTCACTGAACATCAACATCGGGGCTGGTGAGCTTTGTAGGATTCTCCTCCTTCCCCAACAGCCTCAGTCATCAATAAACCCTATTGATATTTCCCTTCGGGGAAGCACCCAGAGACACGGGTGCTTTCCTCTGTTTGGGCCACGGAAGGTGGATGTTTTTCATTAACACCCGTTTTTGCAATCTGAATCGCAGCTCGCAGCTGGAGAGGGAATTTTTGCTGAATTGTTCACAAAGAAAGGTCTGTTTTTGGAAAAATCTCCTGCTTGGGACCTGGAACTTGAGGTTTGCTGAGTGCACAGTAAACACCAATAGTGGGGTCTAGTGGGCAGGGAGCTGGACTGGCCATGGGGCGGGTCTGGGGGCCGGCTACCCGGCTCGACCACAGCCCTCACCGGGAGGCTCCCTGGGAAGGCCACTTGAGGTCTGTCTCATTTTCAGTCCTCAGCTGCAGACCTGGGCAAAGCCGTGACTCCCGAGCCAACCTGAGGCCACATCTGAGTGCGGTTCCTGCTGGAGTGGCAGGCGGGCGAGTGTAGGTTTCTGCCTGGGTGGAGGATTTGGTCAGAGAGTTTTTCTGCCGAGCTGCCAAGTGGCTGCTCTTTCCCCCTGAGTATCAGGTTTAATGCTGACCAGGTTAAAAAGGCACCAGATCAGCCCGAATTAAAGCAGCTTTGCCCTCCATCTCCCTGAGCAGGAACCTGTGTTTATCTGGGCAGCTCTGGGACAGCATGGCTTTGGGGACCTTCCTCGGACACAGCCACTCCAGGGTTTGCTACATCTCCCCAAACGGTGGTGGGATTTGGGGCCATGGGAAAGGGGGAAGGCTAGGAGGAGACACAGTGGAGAGATTTGTGCGAAAGAATCTGTCGGCCAAGAATCCTGAGCCTAGGGCCAGAGGGGTGGTGTGAGATGTGAGAAACCTGCTTTGCGTGTGTGAAGCACGACCCCCTCCCGCCCCAGCACACACACACACACACACACACACACACACACACACACACATACACACCCGGCCCCACAATGAAAACAGCAGCAGCAGCAGCAGCAACAACAAATCCAAGGCCAGCAGGCTGTGGGGGGATTGTGGGAAAGGCCGTTGGCCAAAGGTAATCTGGTTTCCCGCTGGAACAACACTTGATCTTACTCTCAAGGGCCCCAAAGAACCCGAGATGCTGAGTTTTAGATCAAAACATGCCAGAATTTGGTGATAGGAAAGGTAGGGCAGGATTTTGGCCACACCCAGAGTTGCCTTTCTCGTTGGACATCCGGTTCAATCAAGACATTGTTTTTTATTTGATTTTTTTTTTGGGGGGAGGTGTTGGGGGTCCTACCTGAGGGTGCTGGAGGTAGAGGCAGCATTCCTGGCCCTGTGATCAGGAGTGACCTGTGTTAGCACTCGGGAACAGATGTGGTCTGGTAGCAAACTGTAGTAGCCTGCAGGCAAGACAAACACCTTCATCCCTGTACCGGGTCATTTTGTAAAACTGATGCATGAGCTGCACTTCAGGTAAATGGAGGCAGGCCAGCTAGCTCAGAGAATTGGTGAGTCGCTGCTTTGCCTGCTAATGGGTCTGGGCTGGATCCCAGGCATGGTCCCTTGAGCAGTGAGCCAGCTTTCAGCCCTGGGCACCACCTTCATGGACCCAAAGCTAAAATAAATAAATGAATTGATTCAAACAAGGCAGACCAGATTCATGAGACACCCCACTGGGACTGGATGTGGGTGACTCTGGGTCTTGGCAACCCCGACTGGGGTTCCAGGCCAGGGGGATGTGGACGGGGCACAGGTCGGGGACCCGCATTCCTTTTCCCGTGTTCCTTTTTGCCAATCAGTGCGTGACCCTGAGTGTAAGCTGCCATTGGAGAAGAGCATGACTCTTTGCAAAGGGCCCCCATAGACCTGCTTGGGCCAAGTCCCCCCAGCTTTGAGGGGAGCTGACACTCACTCTGCAGCTCCAGGCACATGGCACCATCTCTCCTGGGATGACCTTTTGTGGGGAGGAAGAAGGAGCCTCGGTTTCATCAGAACCGTCCACCTCGGAGACCTAGGTTTGCCTCTGATGCTGGGCTGCCCCACCCCCCACAAACCAGGTGCTTTATTGTGTTGATGCTGTGGGTACTGAAGTCACATCTGAGGGACCTCAGGCCTGGTGAGGGGAGGCATGTTTCTACGCCAAACTGTGGCCAAGGACACTCTCCCAATCCTGAGGGAACGTTTCTATACCCACCATCCCATCCGGCCACCTCTGCTTCTCCCCACTGGAGATGGTGGCCTGGCCTAGGTCTGAGCTGGGAAAACTCAGGTCTCTGAGACCCAGAGGAGCTGCTCCAGACCTCAAGATCTGGTTCAGCCCATTTTGGGGTCTGTTGACTCTGACGTTCCCGGTTGTCTGTTGCCTTTCGGGGTGTCTCTGTGCTGCGAGACTCCTCCCCTCAGAATAACTAACTACAGAATGGAAAATCATGTGACTGGCCACCGGTGCTGTGAGGCAGGGTCTGATGCATCTGATAAACTCCCAGTGCTGGCGGGAGGGTTCAAAGGCTCGCCGTGGAGAAAAAAAAATATTGATTGAGGACCTGGAACTCCAGATGAGTGGGCAAAGTGTCCCTGGCCTCTGGCCCAGGGGTCAGTTCCATTTCCTATTGGACTCTGATCCTTTCCCCTCCGTCCAGTTTCCTGGAAAATATTTCCATCCTGGGAATGGCACTTTCCTGCGGTTGACCCAGGGGGTGTTTCAAAGCCAGTTGGTCCCTAGCAACCCAGAGGATCAACAGGGCAGGGCTGGGAGACTTTGCGGTCCAGAGCCCTGGTGAGGGAGAGGGGTGGTTCAGGGTGAGTCTAATCCATAGGCTGTGATGGCCTCTTGTGTGCAGGACAGGCTGACGGGTCACTGTGTGGGAACAGCTTTGGTGTCCTGTACCCAGAGATGCAGGCTGGTATATGGGACCCAGCAGGGAGGGGGGTGTCAGGAGAGAGCTTGTCTCCCCCTATCCATTTCAACTGTCCCTCTGAGCCCCTAGCTGGTTCTGTAGCAGAAGGTTGCATCCGACTTTAGTGCTGGAAAATCCTGCCTCTTCTCTTGGCTTCTTAGGACACCCTTCTGGGATTTTCCCCCCACGGGGCCTTTAGAGAACCTCTGAATGACCCAGGATCTCTGCGTGCCAAGGCTGACACGACATTCTAAAATTCCAATTAAATTAAATAATTTACTGGAAGAGAACAGCGCAGAGTCTCCTGCCTCCATGCCTGGCTGTCCTCACCGGGGCCCCTTGGAGGAGGGTGGGTTGAGTTTCCCTCCCCACCCCGAGCAGAGCCCTGGCAGATGAAGACCTCCAGTTCCAGCCACAGCCATGCTTAAGACTACTCTCCACACCTTCGGACAAGCCTCACGCATAAAGGAACCGGCCGAGGAACCCAGGTGTGTGGGACCTGGGGCGTAGATCTCCAAGCCTGCTCAGATTGGGACTGGAGTCTCCTCCACCCAGATCCCCCATCTTCCAGTATGTAGGCGTTACACCCACCAACTGCCCCTGGCGCCATGTAATCCCATCAACGGCCAAGACCCAGAGACTGTAAAACCCTGCTCCCGGAAGTGACATCTTATCATCTAGGTCTTACTCTGGAGCGCCTGGCAGGCTACCAAAAGTATCCTGCCCACACGGCAGAGTCTGGCAAACTCCCCGTGGCATATTCAATATGCCAAAAACCAGTAACAATGATGGGTCTCATTCTCCTGACCCTGAAAGAGCCTCGAATATGGCACTTTCTAAAATCTCAGGGCTAGGACGAAGGAGATGTTACTGGGGCCTGCTCGAGGCAATCGATGAACCAGAGGAAGACAGTGATACAGTGAATTTACTTAGTATTTTGGCTCGTGGGGGTCACACCAGGTGCTGCTCAGGGCTTACTTCTAGCTCTGAGCTCAGGAATCACTCCTGGTGTGCTCAGAGGACCACAGGGAGCATTGCGGATCACACCTGGTTGGCCATATGCAAGGCAAGTGCCCTACCTGCTGTGCTATTGCTCCAGAATCCCTCCCCAGAACCCCAATTTTAGAGTCAAAGAACCTTCAGGATGATCTCAGCCCTCCTTTTTAATAAGGCATCCCTAGACTTGGGGCCCAGAAGGGTCTAGGACTCGCCCAAGTCACGCCGTAACGACAGAACTAGAACATGGATTGGACTTCCCCTCAGCCTCGTTTCTCTTGGATCTTGTCCAGACTCCAGACTCCACCACGGCCATGGTTAGTCTGAGGTGAGTTGGATCCCAAGAAGCTGTTCCAGTTTAACTGAATCAGAATATGGAGTCTCCGAGCTCGCGGGCCATAGGGTGTAGCACGTTTGGTGCATTTAAAGTAGATCCACGCGCACACAATCAGGGAATGAG